GATGGGGGGATGGTAAAAAGTAAGACAGACAGACAGAAACAACACAGAGAAAGTAAAGAAGTAACACCTACCAGTGCTGCCCTCCAACCACCCGCATCAATAAATTACTCACCCGGACACAGTAATACTAATGGCAAACAAAAATAGAGAACGCGCCTGAACACTTGAAACTCTCACAATTTAAAAACTGACAATCACGCCAGTAGCGTTTCTGGGAGGTTTAATTAAGGCAATAATAATATCGTATAGCAGTGAACGATAGTGTGCAAAAGAAAAAGAAAAAGGAAGGGGTGGGGGTGGGAGACAAGGATTTGGGGTATATCTTTACGGCGTTTTTTTATTTTATACATTGCTATCAGGTAAGTAGGGAAAACACAATTTTCCACACAATTTGAACATTCCAAAATTAGAGCAAATACATTCTTATTAAGAGAAATAAAACAAAAAAGCAATAAAAATCAGCGGAGACTATTTCACGCTCAACACCGCCAACAAGCCAAACCCTAAAACGACCTTATCAATGGCCAGCATTGTTCCTTTCCACCCCCAAACCCACCAGCGACTGTTCCCACAAGATTCAATAGCAACCTATCGATTTTTCAACTGTCAGATCGCCGACTAAGCTTGTCGAATTTTGCACGCATTTATATCAGGCTCTTGGCTCCGATATTCCATCGGACTCCATTAAAGAATAATTCTTACCATTCAACAAGGAGCACCGGCACCGAGCTGCCCGGTCAATGATCTTTTATGCATAACCTTCAATACGTCGACGCGTTGTTTGGACTTATTGTGGTATCATGTATTGTAGCTCATTATAAATATATAAAGTATAATATAAAGCATTATGGCGCAAAACTAGCTCGACTGTTGCTCTAATCAACGTCGTACAGACGGCTTCACAGGAAGTAAAGATTGTTTCAGAACGCTATCAGGTCCGCTGGGGTAATAATATAGATTGTAAAGCGCATAGGGCTTGCTGTTGAGCGTGAATTTGCGCTATACAAATGGTAACTATTATTATATTCAGCTTTAAAAGTACTCGGAAAAGAAGAAAGAGGGCGTGTCTAGTCTCTACTGGAGCGACCATGAACAAAGTCAACTGTGGTCTCTATCCGGTCATCAAACAGTCTATTAATGAAGCCGGGGAGGAATGCTACTCTGCCGTAAGCTGACAAAACACCTTTCTTTTATTCATTTTGCGCCATTTTTTATTTGCTAAATCGAAAGCCTGATCATTTATCCTACCTGCGTGGAAAAAAGTCAAAGTGAAAATGTGACTAGTTTTTAAATAAATTAGAATTCAAATTTCGGGAGAACACTGTTTTTAAATGCGCTGACAAAAAAGGTTCTTTATCTCGAAACTGCTGTGTATAAAAAAAAGCGTTTTGTTAGCTTACAGCAGTACTGTCTGTTGCTGTTTTGCAACAGGCACTTTTGTTCAACACTTGCAGCTGCCAGTGGTGACAATGTCATTTGTCCATCTTAAATATATTTTCTTACACGTTTGTGATGAAATAATGCTGATGTTGAATATGGTGAAAATATGATGATATTGATGATGGCGACAATGTTGATGATACGATGGTGACGATGATCGTGGTAGTGGTGATGAGCCAGTGGCGTGGCTCTCCAAGCGCAAAAGGCGCAATGGCGCCACCCTTTGAAATGGAGAAAGGATTCTCATAAAAAGGGAATACGATTTTCCAAAACTTAACAAAATATCACAATATTATTTTCAAACAAATCTCTTATTCCTAAATACTCCAGTCTTTTAAGGTGTCTATAATTAGGCTAGTGAGAGAAGGGCGGGTAAGCCTCCCGTTGCCGGTCGCAAGGGTCTCCCCGCGTCTTTCGTTCCCTACGTCTGACGTTACCGAGGGCGCCGAGCCCAGATTGGCCCAACCTGAACCAGTGTCTCTGCCTGAACCCATCTGGGTGTTCATTGTTTAGGTGTGACGTATGGTCAAAATAATTCAAAAAGATCTATAAACTATTTGATTCAATCAATTGAAAACAGGGTTTTCTTTACAAGAATAGCAAAAAAGTTTCTTTAATACCCCTTCCAGACGTTTGACGGAAGACAAAAGAGATATCACCAAGAACATAACTCAGCCAAAAATACTACAACAGGTACTCCCATCACACTAAAAGATTGTACTGTTGGGCCAAAGGGTCAAGATGGATTTGGCGCCGGTATGGTTGGGAGGGGATGGAGTGGTAGTTAGCCTGGACATGGCATGGTCAGTGGGCATGGTTGCGAACTGTCTAAAAATAGGTTTTATTGTCTGCTTTCTAGAAACCAGAACTGCAAGTGAATCTGGGAATGGGGTCATTATGTCAAGACGCCCCGAGGGCAATAGTGCATGCGTGTTCTTGATTGTGAATGA